CTGGGGTCGCGGACCGATCGCTTGTATGGTAACAGGCATCGCTGCCTGTTTTTAAATAACGGCCATTTCCCGCTCGCGCGCGCCAAGCGGGGCGTGTCTGAGCGGATGTCTAAAGACGCCCGCTCAGATCTAGAGAGCTCCCGGAGGCAGTTAAAGGTACCCTCCAGCCATACATATACATTTCATATAATTTTAAAGGCTACCTCCCCGGTAAAAGGTTAAGAAAGAAACACCTCTCATTAAGTGTGGGCAATTTTTCTGTGCAAACAGGGAGTCCCTAGTACAAGGTATACAGAGGCTCCAACGTTTCCTTCAACTTAGAGCTAATGCCATGTCCCCTGTCATTTAACATATTAAAATGGGTTCCTTTATTAAGTGCACTCATGTTATAGTTTTAAATGGCAGGTGGTGTGGCAGAGTGCCAAGTCAGAGCACAATTCAAAGTATTCCATGGCATCACTGGGCTCCCTGGATGAAGAGACAATAATTTGCAGAACACATACATACAAGGCAGTACATTGCACCTGCACTAAGAAGTTAGACATGACAGGTTCACTTTAAAAAGGTGATACAGTATACCTAGAATTGTAGAATTGGTTATCTAAAACTAATTGTGTGCAGTCAACTGCATTTCTCACCAAACCCCTGGGGTTACTGGCATCCTTATTTTCTGAATGACTCGTATGTGAACCAGGGCATCCTTATTTTCTGAATGGCTCCATATGTGAATCAGGGCATCCTTATTTTCTGAATGGCTCCATATGTGAACCAGGGCATCCTCATTTTCTGAATGGCTCCGTATGTGAACCAGGGCATCCTTATGTTCTGAATGGCTCCATATGTGAACCAGGGCATCCTCATTTTCTGAATGGCTCCGTATGTGAACCAGGGCATCCTTATGTTCTGAATGGCTCCATATGTGAACCAGGGCATCCTCATTTTCTGAATGGCTCCATATGTGAACCAGGGCATCCTGGGCAAGTGTTTCCTGTATAGCAGTAGTAGCTTGTTTACTGGTTTTCTTTGGAGTTTTACTATATGCCCTCAGAAATGAACCACACGTAAGGCATGGCATACTACACTTCTGGGCTTCTCTTTACCTTTCTGGTTTTACAAGAATGTCTAGTGGTTTGTACATATTTTGTTTATTCATTAATTATGGTCGGAAAAAAAAAAAATCTTTTGTCGGGCAAATATGGAATGTTAATATGAGATTGCTCAGCAGTCTGCTTTAAAAGCTGTAATTTCCAGACAAAAATGACTTATCCATTTTTAGATGGCTCAGTCTTAAGTTTCAATTAGACAAAGCCAGCCATGAAGCAAGGTGATACGGCGGTGTGGTCTATTTAGCTAACCCACAGTGCTTTGGGAATCCTTTGTCATGTGTATATGTTTATTTGTAAAATAAAGATTTTTTTCTATGTGTGTATGTGTGAAACCAGATCTAAAACATCAGTTAAAAAGAAAAGAAAATAGGAAAAACAAAATTGACCCAAAACTATTATAGTTTAACACCAGGCAAACAGCTAAATGCACATGCTTTGCTTCAGCAATCTAAATGTCATTTCAGGTCTGGTTTAGATTCACATTAAACAAATTATTTGCAAGAGTGTTTTGTACCTTATGGTGTGGCTCATGTTGGACTGTGTGCTACTTTATTGTGAAATATAATGGTCAGCCCCATATATACAATTACAGCTCACACAGTGGACACTGGAATTGGCTGTTAGGGTGTTTGTTTTTTAAAAATTACTTTTACATTGTCTATTATAATTTTCATGTTTACTATGGAACACGCCCCTATACATATGGGGTTGATGTACTAAAGGCACATAGGCTGTTCACTTTTCAAGGGAATTTTCCCTTAGCTCAGTGAATCTTGTGAAAATCCACTTTCAAACTTTTTTTTACTTTTGCAAAGAATACCCAATCACATGAAAGGGAAATTAAAAAATATATATATTTATGCTTGCACATGATTGGATGATAACATTCAGCAGAGCCTCACCTCATTAACCAAGGTCGCCAAGGTTATTCACTGCAAAGGGAATGCATCCTATTTGCCTTTAGTAAATCCACCCCATTATGTTCATGCTGCTATTGTATCAGAGTACACGTGTACAAAAAAAATGTAGCTGTTCATGTGACCAAGAGGTGGCGTGCCAGTGCTTGCTCACGGGTGTCTACCCTTGCTTGCAGTCCAAATGAACTAGGTGTACTGTTTGTATTTTGGCCATTACCCTTTTTGGTCAATTGGTATTGTTTCTTATGGCAGATCTTCTTAGATCTTTAAATATAAATTTTAATAATGAAATAATATATTAACAATTTCATCTCCTGCTTTCCAAATCTGGAAGGACTAGAAACGGGCAACTTTCCTGAGCTGCTAAACCAATCTCCCCAAATAACAATTCGTTATTGTCCTAGTTTAAATAGCAATCATAGGCAGCAAGTGAATTCAGTTAGTGAACTAGTTGTACTATTCAGCAACCTATTGCAGCCAGAATCCAAGGTTCACCTTACAGGCTCTGATAAAGGTTTTTGACAAGCTACAATCTAGGGCCTAAAGTAAAAATTAATGTGAGGCCCCAAAATTCTGTACAGTGCAACGGGGGTGTCCCAAACCCTTTGGCCATAGTTCTCTATTAGGTTACAGGAGCACATGTACTAATGCATTCCTGCTATCCAAAGTCAGCATATAGCGGGCATATAGCCCGATACATGCGGACAGCACAGAGCCGCGCCATAGGCGGGATCCCGTCAATATTGTCAGCTTCCAGAGCCCTCCCCTGTCTGTCCTTCTGATGAGTGCCGGAGGAACAGAGAGAGGAGGCAGGAATGCCTGTAGGAAGTGGTGACTGACCGTCACTACTCCATGCAGGGAGAAGACCGTGAGCTGAGTGATCAGCAGTTTGTGATCACTCAGTTCTTGAGCTATAGAGCCGACCTGTGAGAGCTGCAACTCTGTTGAATGAAAAGAAAGCAGGGCATGGAGACACCATAATCAGGCTTAGGATTCACCCCAAATCTCCAGAAGACCACTGAAGAAGAATACTGTGCTATAAAGATGAGTTCTCATGTGTAATTCTTCCTGGAAGTCAAAGTTCACTTAGAAACATTTAAAGCCCAATTGAACTTTCAGTTTAAATTATTATTATACAACTTAATATATTGTGAACCGAACAAAAGGTGTGCCAAGTCTTACAGATTACTTTCTTTGAAGTGGTACTAAACTTAGGAGTTAAATATTAGAAATACATTTAGGTACCTTAACAAGGGACCATGGGGAACAAAAGTAGCCCCCTCCAGGAGGAAGGACAGGTCAGCATAATTTCAGAGATGATCTACACAGCTTAGTGCACACTAAAAAAAAATATTTGTTTACATCTTGCTGTCGGCCGGCAACTAGATTTCTGTGGTTGGCAGCAGAATGTAAACAATGGGGAGCAATAGCCAGCCTGCTATTGGCTATTTCAAATTGCAATAGACTATAGCAAGCTGGCTATTACACCCACCCACTGAGCAGAAGAGTGGGCCTGAGAGAGAACACCCGGTAAAAGCTGTTTACCTTCCCGGCGGGATTCTGCTCGCTCAAGCCGGGAAGGATCCGCCGTCTGCCTGTATTTTTATGATGTGCGGATGGCAAGGGGTTAAAGAAAATATATTTAAAAAATAACTTTTTATTAAGTCTTGCAGGGGGCTACCTGCCCTGCTCATTTTGGTCTAGCAAGAAAAAGAACACCCGATCCTCCGAGCTGGTTGGCTGTGACAGCACTCCCTCTTCCGCTGCAGCGATGGTATCTACCTGGGCATCCTCACGTCCTATACATTGTGTATAGGATGTGATGACACAGGGACCTTAGACCGATGAATCGAAGGGGGAGTGAGGCTGGAAGAACTGGTCCAAGAGCAAGCCGGCTCGGAGGATCTGGTGAGCGTAACTTTTTAATTTTTTTACTCAAACCAAAACGAGCAGTTGACCCTTGCAGTGTGTGTGTGTGTGTGTGTGGGGGGGTGGAGTTTATTTAAGAACTTTCAATGTCATTATTCGTACAGAACGAACGTTCGCAGATATGCACAGGGTGAAGGGCCCGGTGAATGATTTATAAATAGACCCCAGAGAGTCCAGAAATCTTGGAAAACTGTAGAAAGACCTGAACTAAATTGGACTTCTTGACTAGGGCTGCAACAACTAATCGACATAATCGATTATGAAAATAATCGTTAGCTGCAGCTCTAACTTCTTCCTATTACTGTATGTTACAGGTGCACCGGAATTGCTTGAACAAGAAATCCCAGAGGAAATCACAGCGGATCTGTTGGCTGTGGAGATTCTTGGTTTACCAGTCCATACAGATGACAGGAATGAAGAGCCCTCTCCAATTCCAGAGGCTGCATCATGATAACAGTTGATGACTGCTTACTATGGTCCTTCTATTTATAAAGAGCCAAAATGTTTTATATACTGTAGAGAATAGTTTAAATGTCTGCCAGTTCTGTTTTTTTTATATCTCCAAAGTAAGGGGAAATCCCTTCTTTGACAGTTGTCAGCAGAACGTTTGTCCCCATTGGAATATTTCCCCTTGTCTCCTGTTCCAATGACATTTGTGAAATAATGGATTTCTCACCACTCGGTTGTCATTGTTTACCAGGAGAAAAAAAAAAGGAGACTCCATTCCCCAACATTTATAGAGAAAACCTGACAAGGGTTCTAACCACTCCCTATTGTATCCATAATATTGGTTATGTTCCATGCCTACACATACATTTTAAGGTTCCTGTCACAATGCTCTGGTGTATTTTGTTACCGCACACACTTAAACGTGTGGTATTGTGCATGTTAACATATATTGCGTTAAGGTAGCCCATTCAGAATAAATGGGCCGCCAGCGCACCACGCAACGCATAAAAAATCTGTTGATTTTATTTTGTTAGGCAGCGTTTCTTATGTTGAAATATGTACAAAATACAATTTTATTTTTATAAATGTGAAAACAACATTCTAATGCTGTTGTAGAAACCTGTTTCATGTGTATGGTTTTCCTGTGAAAGCTTCAGTAAAATAGATACTGATATTTTGGAGGTCTGTTTCATTTAAAACAAGCTTGAATCTGGAAGTTGAATACTGGAACTAGTGGCTTCATCAAAGTTGGACACTGAAGGTAGAGATGGATGTATACAAAACAATCCAGATCAGAAATGTATGGAATTTGTATAGTGCACTGGCTGATCAGTCCCATTTTGTAAACAGAGTGCAGTTTTAAAGGGACAGTCCACTCAAAACTGTTCTTTGGGTTTTTAGTCTGTTCTGGTAAGTTACACCCCCTAATATGTTTCTATTAAAAGAGAACTATGGGGTAACCTTTTTATCCCATAGTTCTCTTAATGGTCGTGGGAGGACATATACTAGCATCCTCCCATGACCCAAAACTTTGTGTATAGTGAGCTATTGCCCACGATATACTGAGAGCGCCGCAGCCGGGACAGATCCCAACAATGCTGTCGAGATCCACCCAGCTGCGTGGGTGACAGCTGGCTCTGCCTATCTAGAGGCAGATTGAGCTGTACCCGCCCCCTCCCCCGTCCGTTCCGCCAGTCAGCGCAGGAAGTTTGGAGCGGGGAGGGGGTGAAATCCTCTTCAGGTAGATGATCAGGAAGTGAGTGAGCAACGGTATCCGTTCACTCACTTCCTGATCTATAGAGCCGACGTGTGACAGTTTCATTGTCACACGTCGGCTCGAACTATGAGGTTGTGTGAAAATCACTCACCTCATAGTTCTCCTTTAATTAATAATGTTCTATATCTGTCATGGAATTGAGTTCCTGGGTCTGCACACCTTAGGGATTCCCTTCCCCCCCACCCCCCACACTTACCCTCTTGTTCTTACAGATAACAGAGGCCTATGGAGTGCAGTAGCAGTCTGGCAGGTTAGAAAATCTTGTTTCTGCTATTTTGCTCAGCTGCACAATAGTTTGCAGGTTACCTCTCCTAAAGCTGGCCATACACCTTACAATATATCTGCAGATTTTCTGTGGTCAGATGGAAAAGGTGCAACAGATTTCTCCATATACACTTAACTGTGTGGATGGAGTAATCTCCACCTGGGCCAATCTGTTGCACTTTTTCCATCTGACCACAGAAAATCTGCAGATAATTGTAAGGTGTATGGGCACCTTTACTCTCTCAAAGGGCCATTTTAGCTTTGTCTGTTTTCATGTATAAAGACGCATGCATTCTGCTGCTTGAAAATGCACCACAAGTATAAATTGCACTTTTTCTTATACGGCTGGTTGACATAAGTGCACTGCAGTTAAGTGTAAAAGGGAAAGAGAAAATATATGGACCCATTTACACCTTTGCATGTGCATGCTGTAGAGCAGTGGTTCTCAACCTGTGTAACCCACATTTGTCCTTTGTCATTAAGACGCGACCCAAGTTGCACTTCACGCACACTCAGACATTCCCACACACGCATACACACTCCCAAAAAAATATATATATATTTTTAAGATCCACCCAGTCTCCTTGCCTTATGAGAACTGGAGTGGATCCTTAGCCTGGGGTCCAGTGTGCTGTGATGGAGCTCCATCCAGATGTGCATTGTTTGTACACCTCCCTTACGCACCCTGTAGAGGTGCCAGGAACCAGAATGTGATGTCAGTCCAGTCCAGGCACCTATACAGGGTACATGTGGGAGCTGTAGGCAATGCACATATGGATGGAGCTCCCTTATAGCCATAATTCCAATCCACCATTCCTAGGGTTGCCACCTTTTCTTCAAGCGAAACCCGAACACTCAAGCGACGCGCAGACATTTTTTGGAGGGAATGAGCCATGGCTTATTCATATGTAAATAGCGCCATCCATTCCTATGTAAATATCACAGTTGAGACTATTTTCAGTGGGGGGCCAGTAGCCCCTATCTTCATTTTGGTTGCCCCTGTCTGTCTGACATCATGTGTCCGGGTTTCAGCTGCCATGAAACCCGAACACGGCATTCAAAACCCGAACTGTCCGGGTGAATCCTGGACAGGTGGCAACCCTAACCCCTCCCCAAGCTGACATGCAGTGCTGGACAGCATATTTTGAATGGCTGTTCAGCCAGAGAACTGATGGTGCTGCACTAGGGGGAGGCTGAGGAGTGTCATCTAGAAAAGTGGAAGGCATGTGGTGACCCACTGAACATGTGGTCGCGACCCACCAGTTGAGAACCAAGGCTGTAGTGGACACATATCCAGCCTAAAGGGGTAAACACAATCCGTTACACAAGGCACATCCAGCTTCTCTCTAATGCTACGTACACCTTCCAATGATAATAAAGCCAAATATTTTTAAGATATTTAAATGCTGATATAATTTACAATGGATGCTGCTCCTTGATGTTTACAAGTTTAAGCTTCCTGCAGAATCAACTGGTCCCCTGATCACTGGCCCTGATATCCTGTTTTAGGGTGGCTTCTTTCCCTTGCAGTGTCCTATGGAGCCACCCTTGTGTGTGTGCTAGTAAGCTGTGTGTGTCTCCACATTCACACAGACACAGCAAGTCAAGCCACTATCCTCCTGCCTGCTATCCCACCCCCTCCTTCGGGCTAGTAGATGGGCAGCTGCTGAAGATTGCTCTGTCCCTTGTGATCTTGTCCTGGACAGGAGGTTCAGAGCTGAGAGAGTTGGAGTCAGCTGTTCTGAAACATGATGGCTGTAAGTGCTTGGGCAATAATGTAAAGAAATAGTTTGCTGGGCAATGTATATATTTGTTTGATTTGGATTCATTAGTTAAAAAAGATGAAGGGTTTAGTAGTACTTTAACACATTACTTCAAACATTGAGACGGTACTTCTAAGTTATATCTATGGGTTCTCCTCAATGCTGTCAGCTGACTGCTGATGGGGGAAACATCAGTTAGACAGGACAGAGGATGTCCAACCACCCTCTACTGTCTATGAGCACCCCCCAATCCATCCTAAATTGCAAGGCCTAAGAGAAAAAAAACTACCAGAAATGGTTACCTTAGAGAAAAGCCTGCTTGCCTGGACCAGGGGGACATCACTTGGCATAATTGCAGATCCTGGGAAAGCTGAGGATCCCAAATTATCTCCTACACACTGCTGAGTGATGTCACCATTGCCAAGACAAACTGGCCAGAAGTCGGGGTCTACGTTCATTTTTATTTTGGTAATTTGTTTTTTCTTAGGCCGTGCGATTTGCGATGGTGGGTTAATAGATTGAGTTTAATTGTAGAATGCAAGATCCACCTAAAAATTCAGAGGGTCAAGTGTTTGGTTAATTTTAAGGCTACATTCATACCAGGTGTGCATGTACATTCAGGGATTCCTGCGGCAAGAACCTATGAATTACTACGGCAGGAATTCCAAATATGCCATTAAGAAGCGGCTGCTGTCACGCGTTCCAGTTATTGATCGGGTGACAGCAGCCGCATTCGAAAGCGGCAGTCTGCCGCCACTCCGCATGTGATTGTATGTGACATGATTACCGGGTTCCGCTCAGTTCCCTGGCAACCAATAAGTTCAGGGAGCTGGGCGGTAAGCCGTACAGAGCATTACAGGTTGCTTTGAGCAACCTGGGACACTGTGGCTGCGCCTAGTGAGGCTGCTGCACTATAGGAATGGCCATACATGTAGCAGAAAAAAGTCCAAACACATCTAGAAATAAATAAAAAAGCCTAATTCTAATGCCACCTGGATATTATAAGGTCTAGCAGTGTAATCTTACACTTCCTGTAAAGAATGTATTACTCTTATTTTGTACTTACTCTTAAATTTACTATTTGTTGCCATAAGGTAGCTGTAGGCTCCTTGTTGTCAATGAAATATTCTACAAATGACTTTAGACACAACTGCAATGCACATACCCAGAATGATGACACAAACTTCCCACTCAGGGAAAAGCCTTAGGACAAATTATAGTCACACTTTAAGCATGACCAAAAAATGTCAGCAATAGAACCCTGTATGTAAATCAGATTTAGATTATGACCCTCCAGGCCTGCCCCTCTATGCCAGGGGTGGGTAACCTCCAGCTGTAGTGAAACAACAAATCCCATCATGCTTGTGGCTGTCAAAGAGTCTTGCAATGCCTCATGGGACTTGTAGTTTCACCACAGCTGAAGGGCCCCTTCTATGACAACGTGTGCCAGACACTGGGGGACTGGAGTAGCTCTAATACATAAATGCTGAGTGTCCTTCCCCAAACTGTTCCCACAAAGATGGGAGCATGAAATTGTCCAAAATGTCTTGGTATGCTGATGCCTTAAGATTTCCCTTCATTGGAACTAAGGGGCCAAGCCCAACCCCTGAGAAACAATCCCACACTATAATTCCCCCCCCCCACCAAACTTTACACTTGGCACAATGCAGTCAGGCAAGTACCATTCTCCTGGCAACCGCCAAACCCAGACATGTCCATCGGATTGCCAGACAGAGATGTCCAGAGGACACGTCTCCACTTCTCCAGTGGTGGACTCCAGTGGAGTCAAGTGGTGGCGTGCTTTATCCCACTGCATCCGACACTTTGCATTGCACTTGGTGAGGTAAGGCTTGGATGCAGCTGATTGGCCATGGAAATCCATTCCATGAAGCTCTCTACGCACTGTTGTTGAATGTTGAGTGCCAATCTGAAGGCCACACGAAGTTTGGAGGTCTGTAGCTATTGACTCGGCTGACAGTTGGCTTCAGCATGCGCTGACCTCACTCTAATTTTACATGGCCTACCACTTCGTGGCTGAGTTGCTGTTGTTCCCAGTTGCTTCCATTTTGTTATAATACCAGTAACAGTTAACCGTGGAATAGTTAGGAGCAAGGAAATGTCACGGATGGACTTATTGCACAGGTGGCAACCTATCACGGTACCACGCTTGAATTCACTGAGTTCCTGACAACGACCCATTCTTTCACAAATGTTTGTAGAAGCAGTCTGCATGCCTAGGTGCTTGATGTTATACACCTGTGGCCATGGAGGGGATTGGAACACCTAAATCCAATGATTTGGAGGGGTGTCCCAATACTTTTGGCAATATAGTGTACATGTGTGAGGGGTTAGGGCAGGGCTGTCCCTATGGTATTCTCTGCTGAGGTGACGTGCTGTCATTCAACCCGGGCCCCCAGCATGTGCACGGTCTGCCATATTCACACTCATTAGACAAGGACACTTCCAGGATCCTTCATTCTATGCAGTGTGCCTATGACAACCATTGTTGTAGCTTAGCCCTGATAAAGTCATAATGTAAGAAACGAACACTACTGAAAAACTTTATTTTGTCCCTGGTAAACTGGCTGACAATATCCGTCCGGTCAGGCAGATGGAGCGGCGATCATATGCAATGAATGAAAGGAGTCAAGCAGCTCTGTATTGTGTTGTGGGTGTGCAGCGCTCAGCTCCCCATCCCCCCGCCGCGGTCGAGCAGTAGCAGCAGCGGGCGGCGCACTGCGCATGCGTGGATTGGCTGTGCTCGGCCGTATGTGTGAGAGAGCTGAGAAGAAAGAGAGACAAGTAACCGGCGTAGAATCTCCCTGCCCTCCCCTTCCCCGATAAACCACTGCAGCCATGTCGGGGCGCTCGGTCCGAGCCGAGACACGAAGCCGGGCTAAAGATGACATCAAACGGGTGATGGCCGCCATCGAAAAAGTACGGAAATGGTAAGAAGAAAAAAAAACAGACAACAAAGGAGGAATGGAGGGAGGCGCTGCTGCTGCGGGCTATGGAGGCGGCGTGACTGGATCCCGGGGCTGCCGGCTCATGGGGGAGGAGGCGGGTGACTGAGGAGACCCGTGTGCTCGCTCTTTCTTCTCCGCGCTCCCGCCAAAGCCGGCAGCCATTTGTTTGCAGCCGGCGAGAGGAAGAGGAGCGGCGGCCTCATTATTGGGTTGATCCGGTGACTTCCCCTCCTCCCCCTCCCCCGGTGACTGGAGAGCGGCACTGATTTCTCCGGATTATCCGGGCACAGACTGCTTTTAAATTTAGCGCTTTGGCCCTCCGGCTGCCAGCCCCCTCCCCCACCAAGCCCTGTCCTCTGCTCGTGCCGCCTGAAATATGGGGCTGCGGGAGGAAGTGCGGAGCCATGGCCGATCGCATCACGCACCGGCTCCATCGTACATTCCGGCTTCATGGCCGATCTTATCACACTATGACAGAACCCTTTAAACATCAGCTCCGTGGCCGATCACTTAAACGCTGGCGGCATGGCCGATCTCATAACACCGAGGCCATTCTACACCCGCTCCATGACCGATCTCGTCCTACACACGGGCTCTCCATTCACACTGCCGGGATCAGCCCTGCCAATCGTCCCCCCGATATTGATTGAGTTCAGATGGATGGTGTGATCGGAGTCCCCCGGTGTGGCTGCAGCGTGTTGACAAAGTTTTCTCGATTTGTTGTGATCTGTACATCTCCCCGGTGTGAGTTCACACACCAATAGTCAGTCATGGTGGATGAGCAGGAGGCCGCTGATTGGTCGGACATTTAAATGTCCTCATATCAGCATTGCCGAGTCCTCTATGAGATCATACAGCGTGCGGACGGAGACTGCATGGACCAATCACCATCAGTGCAATGTCAGCCTGTCCACCTCAGTGACACATCTCACATACTGGGAACAATATGGAAAGAAAAGTACCTGCCGCATACTTTGAAATTGGTCTGTATTTCACTAAAATGATCTGGTTTACAACCGCTCCGTACGCTTTACCCTTTTTATATTTTTTATCATATTGCATGGCCCCTGGGAGGTACAATGGGGTTTCCCATCAGAATGAATATCAACACAACACACCAGAACGCATGGAGTGCGTCACATTGCGTTGTGCAATAGCTTGCGCTGAACACGGGGAAACTGTGCCTTTAGTACAACACTAGAGTGTGAATCGGCCCTCAGCCTTTATTCACCCCTAGGCATTTTGGTGCTCGAAAGTAAGCGCGGTAAAATGTTTGAGACAAGGAATCTCATTCATTTCTATGGCCCATGTTTACACCTGAGCATTTGTCACAAGCAGAAAAACGCCTGTTGCTTGAGCTACTTTTTCGCAGATTTCAGTGCTTTTTGGTCCCATAAACTTCAATGGGAAACGAAGTGCGACAAAACACTCCAGTGTGAACAGGGGCCATAGAAATGAATGGGATCCATTGTCGTGAGCGTTTTGTTGCGCCTACCCTTGAGCGACAAAACGCCTAAGTGTGAAAGGAGCCTTCTATGTAATGTTAATGAGGAACACCAGGATTTTCCAGAGTTGACCCTTGCAGTGGCGCTACCCCCGCACTGCAAGCTTTAACTGCTCATTTTGGTTTAGGGGTGCAAATAAAGAAAATATGCTCCCTTGATCCTACCTGGCTGCTAGACTGCTCCCTGCAGCATCTTTTCCCCCGAGCTCCGGTGGTCTAAGCCCCACTGACGTCATCACTTCTATGCGAGGTGCATTCACTTGCATTGGACGTGAGGGTGTCAAGGGAGCGGAGGGGGATAGAGGATCAGGTGAGAGTATCCCGGAGATCTGCTTTAATGAGGGGGCTGAGGTGCAATGTTTGCCATATTTACCCTGTGTGTACTGTGCTGGCAGATCACCATTATCAGTTGTTAACTCAGAGGTGCACAAAATAATCTGGTATTCAGGAGCCAGTCTGTCCATTCCAGGAGGCCATAGGATTATTTCACAGCCAGCTCCATTAGCCATAACTAGAGAGCTGTAATTTCTAAGGTGCTTTGGCTACCTTGATCCTGGTATTCATCCAGCCCTGTGGTAACTAGATGTGCACACTGTCTCTTCTACCAGAGGGTCCTAGTTTGTTTTAGTAGGTCATATTTGTGGCCTACTACTCCACCCCCTTTCCCACCTACATGAACTGCGGGATGGCAGCCATAGCATTCATTCGCGTATCCATTCAGAGGACCTGTCAATAAAAAAGACTACAAGCCTCTTCTGCCACTGCAACAGAGAGACACCTGGATCTCAATGGACCGTGTGTGGCAACGTCACCACACCTATAGCCCATTGATTACTTCCCCCTGTCCCATATCAGAAGGCCCTACCTCCATTCAGAGCTTGGGCTTGAGTAAGGCTCTGTAGGAGCCTGAGCACTGCACCCACCATCCATTATTCACGGCTCGGTTGTTATGATTTGCAGGCTCCAATGCAAAAGAAAAAAAAAATCAATGTCCATTTTTTTCTTTTATGAAGGTGTGTTCATTTATTACATTTTTTTTTTTTTTAATTTTTTTTTTTTTTTACAAAAGGTGGACTATGCCTTGAAATATCTCACGGTTTGGGTGTCACATTGTATAGTAATGCACTTTAAAAAAAATAAACACCCTCACTTTGTCCCTTATCTTCACTTAATGCCATCAGAGACTTGAGGAGCATCATTGGAAGTTTAATTTGATTCCAACACTCAATTTTGGAATGCATGCAGCTTCCTGAATGACAACCACATTCACTGTTAGAATTTCCTTAATTTGAGAAAAATTTCCACCACTTCATCCTCCAGGATGCTTCACCAAAGAGAGATGACCCTACCTCTTGCAGGAAACACAAGGCCAGGGAGTTTAAAAGGCTCCTAGGAGGCAGCACCTTCAATTCTTGTGTCTTCTGCCTCCTGTTAACACGCAAGTTCTTACAGCTCTTGGTTTGTTTTTTTCTCCTTCTCCCTATGGGGTGAGTGAAATGTGGAAGTCAGAAACCCCCTGTCAATGGAAGGCTTTGTTGTGGGCCACGGTAACCCTGCAGCCCTAGGCAGAGAGTAAAGGGGGATGTCTAGCAGCAGGTCCCTAGCTACACCCATCCTTCCCTTTGAGCAGCTTCCTTGGATGGCCGTGGCTACGGCTGTGCTGTGGGTCTATGTACCTGGGAGTTCCTCTGGTGACCTCATATACTCCTCTCGCTCCCCTTTGTTCCTCTGCTTCACATGTAGTTAATTGTGTAGCTGGGAGGGGACTGTTTGTTCATGTTGATCTAGGACCTGTCTGATAATGGTAGGTATCAAATATGGTGGTCAGTTTTGCAGCCTGTATTATTCTATAGTATTCCCCTTTTTTTAAGGATAGCTACATTTTGGCATACAGTGAAATGGAAATGCCATTGTATTACTATGCTGTCTGGAATAGACAATGATACTGGATTGACACCCATTGAAATCTAAGCACGTATTGACGTGCATTTCAAAGTGGACTGCCATGTCCATTATAATGCAAACCTCAAAGGAAATGCATGTGCCTAGAATTCTGTACATAGAGGGATATGGAGGCTGACATTCATAACAACCTTCTGAAAATATGTGTTACCTGGAGCCAAATACAATACATAGATTTCTCTCTCCTTGACTTAGCAGCATGCCGTTGAGCCAATTTACTGCCACCGCAGTACTGTGCTGCAGTAATAGGACGTAGAGAAAGGTTTCCTTAATTTCGGGTTGAATGGAGAAGAATCACACTTTGGCACTCGTCCAGGATTAAATGAAAACGAAAGTCTGGAATTTAGAAAATAAAAGTACCCTTGCAGTGTCCCCTTCCCGTCTATACTGCAATGGATGAAATGCTAATTAAAGTGGTATTAAACCACCAGCATAAACGGGGTTATAAAGGGTCCCCAGGAGGTGTTTTCCCATAATGTGCCAGTATGAACAGGATATTGGCACATTATGGGTGACTTACCTTTCAGGTGATCCCCTCCTGCACTGTTATGTCAGCGCTCTCCTCCTCTGCCAGTGCTGCCTTCTTCTCCTGGTCTTCTAATGGATTCAGCATCTTTGGCCTTTTGATTGGCTGGGCCTGGATGATTCAGCTCCGTCGCATGTGCACGGGAGTTACTGCTTTTCGGCACAGGACCTTGCTGAGCTTGTGCAATGAGCTGCGCATGTGCACACAAATGCTGACAGGCAGGGAGAAGTAATTATGACAGTCATACAGAGTCTCTTCTGTCATAAAAACCCTACATGTCAGTGGTTTTATTTTACCTGAAGTACATGAGCTTCTTTTTGGGAGATTATGCGCTTCTTGTCCCCATGCACTTCAATGAAAAGCCTAAAAACATGCGTTTTGCATGTGTTTACCCATTTACATCAACATGTCACAATCTGCTCACAAAAACTCACCAACTTAATGTAGGCACGTAAAAAGACGCAAAAACTTGCTACACAAAATAATATATTCACGCTCAGGCGTGAATGAAGGCTAATGGTCCTGTCCTGTCAGCTGCCTTCATGAGCACAGATGGTCCATTATTTCACAGAAAGCAGTCTCCAGTTGTGATGGCAGTACAATGAAACCCACGTGCGTCTGTGTACCGAGTAAAGTGCTGCTTTCTCTTAAGGGGATTTGCACTGTCCTTTGAACTTCTCGTTGCACTGCGCTTCCTTTTTTTTTTTTCTTTATCCAAATATTAGGAATTCTCTTCTTTCCGCTTGCACCTGCTGCGTATAAACCTTTCCCACACACTTCCAGGAAGGCCTAGTCTGCACTTGTGTTCTTGAAGCTGCACGCAATTTCTGTGTGGTATTCGGATGTGTACATGTTTTTTTTACATCACTTGCGAAGAGAGTCGACCATTCCAATTGTTCAGTAGTTCATGTGTATTTTGGTATGCATTATTTTTAATCATGTTCTGTTTAAATCTAAAAATGCATTGTAGCACAGATGTTTAAACTAGAGGTGCACTGAAACAAACATTTCAAAACCGAAATGGAAAAAAAGTCAGGCCAAAACCGAAAATGTTTTTTTTTCTAACTTTTTTTAAATATATCTTTTTTTTTTTTTTTAAATGTTATTTTTTACAAATATTTTTATTTTTTACTTAACTTTTAGGTGCATCGGGGAAATATTGGGGGTTTAAACAGACCCCTGATATTTCCCTTTTAAAATATTCCCACTGCTGTGACTTTGACTTCACAATCCCTTGAGATTGAAAAGAAAACAGACACAAGTGTCCAAATATAAATGGTTCCAAACATTTTCATATCCTTTGTGTAAGGGAAAGCTTTAATGATTCATTTTGAGAGCCTGCTTTATAGATCTCACACATTGCGCTAATGTGTTCTTCTCCTGCGGGATCTCTTTGGTCTATTTTATTTTGAGATGCTGCTCAGTTTCACACACCAGACATCTAGGAAGGTTGCCAGTGTCTCACTACTGCGAACATCCTTTATTGTATGCACCCAGGGGAAAATAGGACAATGCCGCCACCAAAATATCCTGCCACAGTTATTGCTTTTCATGTATTTAATGTGCAACACTATTTAAAATGTATGTATTGGTGTAGGGTTGGATCTACCAGGTCTTTAGAACTGTCCATTGCGCCAGAGGGGGGGGATCTCCTTCTGACCTGTTCTAGACCTCATCTCTGAGAATTCTTAAAGTATTCCTTAGGAGAGTTCATAGAATTCCACTGAGGTTTTCTGCAGTTGTTGTTAATGGAGCTGGCTCCTGGATTCCATAATAATGTTAAGGCTTTTCTCCTTAGGGTAACGGGAGGACACAAACTAGCGTCCTCCCGTCACCCTAGGCTCAGTATACGACGAGCTGTAGCTCGCGGTATACTGAGATGCCGCAGTATACCGCGAGCAGCTGCTCGTGGTATACTGAGACGCCGGAGCTGAAGAGGATCCCGACAATTATGCCTGGATGCGCCCAGCTGCGTGAGTGACAGCTGGCTCTGCCTATCTAGAGGCAGATTCAGTTGTACCCGCCCCCTCCCTCGTCCGTTCCTCCAGTCAGCGCTGGATGATCGGAGCGGGAAGGGGGGAACCCAGCCCCTCCCTTGTCACGGCAGAGAGCCTCGACAGGTGAGCGAACGCCGGTATGTGTTCGCTCACCTCCCGATCTACTGAGCCGACCTGTGACAGTCTCATTGTCACAGGTCGGCTAGAACTATGAGGTGAGTGAAAAGCACTCACCTAATAGTTCTCCTTTTAACAGTGCATTTCCCAAAGTACATTTTGTGTCGACACTTCCTACTTTGTTTAAATTCTTTATGCTTGCCAATCTTTTGAGGTCAAACATTGACAATCGCTTTAACATGCGTTAAAGGAGAAGTATGAAGTGAGTGATTTCCACTCATCCACACAGAGCCGACCTGTGACAAAGAAGCTGTCACAGTTCGGCTCTATTGATCAGGAAGTGAGCAGAAACATGCCGCCGTCCACTCCCCGATCGTCTCCCTGCAGTAAGCGGTGACTGTCACTCACGGCTCCCGCAGGATTCCCCTCTCCCATCCTCCAGCACTGAGTGGAGGAACGAAAGGGGAGGGGGCGGGCACAGCTAGCTCTGCTCTAGATAGGCAGAGCCAGCTGTCACTCACGCGGCTGGGTTTATTTCGAGAGTATTGAAGGGATCTGTTCCAGCTGCGGCGCTCTCAGTATATCACAAGCAATAGCTTGCGATATACTTAGCTTTGGGTCATGGGAGGAGGTTAGTATATGTTCTCCCGTAACCCGAAAGAGAACTATGGGATAAAAAGGTCACCCCATAGTTCTCTTTTAAATCTGCTTACAATTCACCATATTTGCAGCAACTTTTTTTTTTTTTTTTACATGTTGTATAATTTCACAAATGTTTGCTACCCAAATAATCTGGATTTAAATATGTGATTTAGCATATTTTTTAAAGCATGAAACCCAAATAATTCCTTATGGCTTTTACACATCGCCAGTAGAATTTAATTCAAAACCTTTTTTTCTTGGTATGTTCGTTTTGAATTTCTAATGGTTAATTAGGTGAATTAGACAACTGATTTCTACTGTAATGAACTTTTTCCATCTGACCACAGAAAATCTGCAGATAATTGTAAGGTGTATGGCCAGCTTTACAGCGTCTCCAGCCCAAATCACAATGGTGGTGCTCGTAATAATATGAATCATCACGGATGGCGCCATGCACATCAATTGGTTGGAAAATAGGAATCACCAGCACTCGGTAGATAATCAGATAATCGGATAACGTCCATTTATTCGGACCAATCGTCACACACATCACAGTAACCAACGTTTCTGGGCCACGCATGGTCCCTTCATCAGACGTTATTATCTGAATATTATCTACTGAGTGCTGGTGATTCCTATTTTCTACATTTTTTTTTTTTTATAGGGGGGACAAATTTAATATGAAATTCAGGGGCCAGCATGAATTTTTTTTTAGGACAACAGCTAGTGGAAATATCAAAGGTAATTTGGCTCCTGAGATTTGTCCAGCCCTGGCTCTCTATAGAAGAGTAAGAGAAGGCTGGAACAATGGTCAAGCCATGTATTGCACTCTGTCCCTGTTGGATCTTTTCCCTCGCATCCTGTCTGGATTTGAAGGGAGGTGATAATAAAGTGAGTAAGGATTTCAGTGCTGTGTTTACATTCCCCAGCCTGCATCCATTTTGGTGTTGTGCGTGCCCTTCCCTATGAGCCAGAAGAATAAATGTTTCCACAATAGACACAAGCTCACATATAGATCCACACCACATCCACTGAATTTAGCTTACATTAATGCATGTTAAATGCACTTGATATCTGTTTACATCCCTTTTTTAAAAAACATGGCTTTGTTAAAGTGCATTTGTTTAACCTGTTGTATTGATATGCAGATTTTTTTTTTTTCAGCAGGAACCAAAATAAATCTTTCTTCCCTTTTTAATGTACATTGCAGCATGTTATGAAGAGTTGTAACATGTTGTGCTGCTTTTAGATGCAGAGTGTTAATTTTTAGGGATGCACCGGTATATCGGCCGCCGAAACATATCAGGCGAAAATGGCACTTTTGGCTAAATGCAGAAAGTGCAATTTTCCTGCCAATATATGGTCACATCCCTGCTTTCTGTCCTCCCCGCTGGGCGCTGCTCTGTGTCCCAGGGGGAGGAGAGAAACTGTGACAGCCGGCCGAGCGGTCGGCGTCTCTCCTCCCACACAGCTCAGCCTCCTATCATAGTCCGGCAGAGCAGTGTGGGGGCGGAGACAGCCCACGCTGTCACAGGAGGCTGGGCTTTCCTCTCTACACCGCTCGCTCAGCCTCCTGTGACGGCGTGTCAGAGAGGAGAGCAGTACAATCACTCAACGATCAGTGATCAGTGAGTGTTTGTAGATAATTGAGGACATGGTATGTTTACTGTATCCTCAATTATGAATGAATGGGAGTGATCTACATCCCCTTCTGTTCATTCATAATTGTAGTTATAGTAAACTTACTATGTCCTCATGTTATGAATGAACAGGAACACTGAGTATTCCTGTTCATTGATAACAGGGGATACAGAAAAATATATTTTTCTAGAGCTGCAGCTAACGATTATTTTCAAAATCGATTAGTTAGCCGATTATTAAGTTCGATTACTTGGATAAACAATAAAATACATTTTTTAAAATGGCTCCAGTGATGGGACTACTAGTTTGTATTGAGATTGCAGTCCATCACAGGAGCAAGCTTGGAGCGGTGGAAGTAAAAAAGTGTGTGCAATATAGTGAAATGGAAAGTGTAAATTTATATAGCAATCAATGCAGAATACCACCAGCTATAGAGGAGCACAACAAATCCCAGCAATAATACATTAAGCCCTATCTTTTTCTATTTCAAAAGGGAAATATCAGGGGTTTGTTTAGACCCCTAATATTTCCCCAAAGCCCCTAAAAGTAAAGTAAAAAATAAAAATATTTAATGAATAAAATGTAAAAGTTTATAAAAAATAAATAATAAAATCTTTAAAAAAAATTTGAAAACATTTAAATAAAAAACATTTTCAGTTTCAATTTCGGCCTGACAATTATTTTTATTTTGGTTTTGAAATTTCCATTTTGGTGCACCTCAATTAATTTTAATAAAGCATGCTCCAATGCAGCACCGTGGTGTGAACCTTTTGGAGTCAATGGATTTTCACTTATTGCATTGGATCTGCGTTGAGCAATGCAGTCTAAGGAGGTGTGTGGTGTGAATGGGCCCCAACAAGGTTCAGGTGCTGGGTTTAATTGGAAACATACTTTTTTAGCTTTCGTCACACTGCTGTAACACTATATGTGAAGGAGCATTGTTTGGGCTAGGGATGTTCAGATACCAGTGCTGATACTCGGCAAAAGTATCTGTACATGTACCGAGCACGGTACTTGGTATCTGAACATCCCTAGTTTGGGCTATATTTTTTTACTTTGTTCTTTCTAATGTATTTATGTATTGAAATATATATTTGCTCTCGTTTTTCAGGGAAAAGAAATGGGTGACTGTTGGTGATACTTCTCTCAGAATTTACAAGTGGGTGCCTGTTGCTGAACCTAAAGTGGACGATGTAAGATATTCTTAGTTTGCAAGTTTCCTGTAATGAAATATCAATCGCATTTCATACCTTTCTTACTTGACAGCTTGATTCCCAAATGTTTACTTAGTGGTCTCCTCTTTGCTTTACTAACCATGTTATCCTATATGCAGAAATGTTTAGGCTAATCTAAATAGTAGTTGTTGGCAGGAAGTTTCTTTGGCCTCGTAACAAAGTCCATTTTCATATTGGATGGAGTATAATGCAGAAGAGAAAGAAGGTGCAGAACACAAATGTGACAAATCCATAGCTACACATCCATGCATTTAAAACTGAAGCCTTAGGAAACAATATGAAGATCTTCAATGAACCCATGTAGAGCTTTAGCACTGTGATGGGTGCATGTAACAATGTCCCCCTCAAGTGGTCAGAAGTAGCATTGCACCTTTCCCATGGAGGCAACGATGTTCATAAACCTCCCAGATATTTTTTTTTTCTTTCAAAATTGCACAAATGGTTCAGCGGTTTTACATTTAAACTAGTGTTTGTGTTAACCTATCATGGTAAACAACATCGGAAAGCTGAATTCTAGCGTTGCTTTTAGTCTTTCACAGTTGCAGATGCTCTCTCCCGTACTGAAATTGCCTATTCTGTTTTTACTGCTCATTGTGAGCTTCACACTGTGTACATTTGAAGCTGCGGAAAATCGGTCTCTCTTCCTGGTTTGAGGGCATCACGTACAGCACCTATATTTCCTCTATAGTATAGCTTCTGCAGACTTCACAACGCCAACCAACATGCGTTTGCTGACCAGTGCCACTGAGACTGGCAAGAGTGGGTGCAGATCTTGTGTTTGTTGGCCCCTCAAGAGAAAAAGAAGCTAGTGTTTGCTTCAACTAGCCAACATACATAAATATTTGATGTTTTAGGTTGATGAGTCTTTTAGGTGATGCCAGTAGTAGTTTTTCCACTTTTCACAATCTAAAATAATAAGACTGCTTCCCCCC